GCATGCTCGAGGCCCTGGGTTCGATTCCTCAGCACCACATAAGCAAAAAGAAAAAAGCCGGAAGTGGCGCTGTGGCTCAAGTGGTAGAGCATTAGACTTGAGCTGAAGAGCTGAGGGACAGCACCCAGGCCCAGAGTTCAGGCCCCAGGACCAGATCCCCCCCCCCAAATTTTTTTTTTTTAAATCACATAACCAAGAGTAACTTTATACTTTTTCCAATGTAAGCCCATGTAACTACATTCCCTGATATTTTAATTCTTTAAATAATTCATGACTTTCACAAAAAATAATATGCTTTTTTGGAAAAGATCTTACTCTACGGAAAAGAGGACAAATGCAATCTACACAGCATTCATTCCTAGTTAACATTTCGATGTTAGGATGACTATGAATGGACTGGAAGAGAAGAAAAGTGACCTGCAAAGTTCTATGAGTGTGGGTGAACTGAAGTGGCACGTTCTCAGTTGTCCAATGATATAAGTAAAATTCATATGCATATTCATAAGCATATTCATATGCTTATGCATCCTTACTTATTCTATGTGTCCTAAAACAGCATACATAGGAATATTAAGCATTAGATAACAGAACATTCCTTTCTTATAAGTCTAACAATTCTCTTTGATATAGTTGTTAAATACTACCAAACATTGAAATTATAAAGAAGAATTTTGGTAGTTAACAGGATCATTTTTAAAATATTCTATAAAATATTACAAATCTTACTTCTGTATTTATTAATTCTATGTTTTGGTGTCAAGATTTGTATTCTTGTACAGAATACATTCAGTGAGATTATAGCTGACTTGATAATCAAGTCTGGATTTTAATAAAGATATATAAATCAATGATTATGAAACTGGCTGATTTAATTTTATAAAAAATAATCTTTTAAAGTTGGAAGAAATACATCTAGGACATTGTGGCATTGACTTATAACAAGAGAACATATACATTTTGAATCAACATGAAACTATAGACATTAGTGATATACAAAGCCCCAAATCCCAATTAACAATAAATTTCCATCTCAAGGTACCAATTTATCAAATGTCTCCCACACAATAACTAAAATTGAACCTATGCCTTCCAATCACCCACCTGTACCACAAAGGTGCCTAAAACAATTGTGCAGAAGATGGCATTATTAAAGATTCCTTCGAATACATTTCTTTCACCATGAATTTTCCGGGCATTTATTTCATTGAAAAGTTGCATCAGCACAAAGGTATTAAAAACAATAGTATAATGTTCTGAAGGAGGAGCATGCAAAGGAGCATTTCTTCCACTATCAATATCAAAAAACTTTTCTCCTGAAATAAAAAAAAAATTACTGTTTTGTAATTGCCATACAAAATAATTTAATACTCTTCAAAGAAATACATAATAATAAAACCTAGATTGACTCTATTTCATCTGGAATGACAGCACCTAGACCCAGAGTTCCAGCCCCCTGACTGACAAAAGGGAAAAAAAAAGGAAAAACAAAAAAAGAGAAGAAACGGATGCCCCTCAAACTATGGTAAGAGTGTAAGACCACATATCTAATTTAGTGGCAGAGCGAAGACCAAAGATCTAGACTATTTTCCCCTGAATCTATCATTCTCCGAAGTTTAGTAAGTACCTACTGAGAACACGGAGACATTTAAGAAAAATGGGCAGTCAGAAACAGAATTTAGGCTCTTGAAAACAATCATAAGACTAAAACATATTGGAAAACAGTATATTGGAGTAGGGATAATTAACTAAAAATTTATTTTAATTAAGGAAATTCTTACCAGCAAATAAGAGTGTAAAAACTACAACGAGCTGATAGAATGCATGACCCAAAATATTCTTCATCATTGTGCGTGAGATGAGAGGCTTATTTCTACCATAAGGTTTTCGAAGCAAGAGAGACTCAGTGGGTGGTTCCGTTGCCAGAGCCAGGGAAGCGAGCGTATCCATTATGAGGTTTACCCACAGCATCTGCACAGCCTTAAGTGGTGAATCCTAGAAAAGATAAGTTTCCTAATAGACATTCACAACTATTCAGGGACTCAGCAATTCTCAGGAAGCCTTTAGAGTTTAAAAAACTTAAGGAGTATAGATTTTATGTTAACAAACTTAAAATATTAAACTTCATTTTATTTAACTATTCAAGTACTTTCAAAAGACAGTTATATAGTGTTTGCATTAAAGTAAGCAAATTTTAATAAACAAATGTCACCTACTTGAGTGATACAAGCGCCAGTAAAAGCAACAATCACTGCTACAACATTAACAGTAAGCTGGAACTGAAGGAATTTTGAGATGCTGTCATACACATTTCTTCCCCACATGACAGCCTTAACAATGCTTGTAAAGTTGTCATCTGTGAGGATAATATCAGATGCTTCTTTAGCTACATCAGTTCCTGCAATACCCTGTTAAAAGAAATTCTGAGTTAAGACTGTTTTATATATTCAATAGGGTAATATATAGCCGGTGGCTCATGCCTATAATCCTAGCTACTCAGGAGGCTGAGATCTGAGGATCGTGGTTCAGAGCCAGCTCAGGCAGAAAAGTCCATGAGACTCTGATCTCCAGTAAACCACTAGAAAACCAGAAGTGGCTCTGTGGCACCAGAGGTGGAGTGCTTGCCTTGAGCTGAAGAGCGCAGGGACAGCACCCAGGCCCAGAGTTCAAGCCCCACGACCAAAAAAAAAAAGGGTAATATACAGTGAACAAAAAGTTTAACATTATATTTAATAGTGATCTAATGCTTAAGAAAGGTAATATTTAAAGTGATATTGTTTTTTCTTTTTTTTGGCTTATAACAAAGCAAATATAAAAACACAGGAAATAAAACTGGTTGTACAACCAAGTTTTGGGAAAAAGTTTTGTTTTGTTTTTTTTAATGTTAAAAAGTATCCTTTGAGCTGGGAAGGTGGCTCAGTGGTAGAGTGCTTGCCTTGCACGCACGTTCCATTCCTCAGCACCACATAAGCAAAAAAAGCCAAAGTGGCACCATGGATCAAGTGGTAGAGTGCTAGCCTTGATCTTAAGAGCAGAGGGATAGAGCCTTGGCTCAGAATTCAGGCCCCACAACTGACCCCCCCCCCAAAAAAAAATATATATCCTTTATCACTGCTAATCTTGTCAACTGTCAAAACAGCAGTAAGAAACCTACTAAATGCTCACATATAGCAGTTTGTGACCCAGCATTCCTTATATAATGATGCTGCTTACCTACAGAACACAAGGAAGAACATTCAATTAACTATCTAGTATTTTAAAAATATTATTGTACATAGTTGTATAAAAGAGTGGCCATTTAACTGACGAATACAATGCATTCAGTGTTACCCAGAGTAGCCCTTCAGCTACTTCTCACAGATCAAGTCATTCTGATGCAGCTATCTATGTATCAGGGTTGGAATTGGGTAAGAATCTTTGGGTAAGAATCATTGCCTTTGGAGGAAAATTTAACCATATAATTTTCTGTTATCATTTCTCTCACTGTTGTTGAAATGCTGTCTTTGGTGGGTCTTCTAAATCACCAATTTAATAGCCAAATTACCAGGGAACCAAACTATGCAAATATATACTTACGTACATTGCATTCTTTCATCTGAACCTTTTATGACCAGATTGTCTCTCAGAAGTCAAAGCTGTTCAAATTTAGGAAAATAACAAAGTACATAGGCTACAAACTTTCTGAATGGCGACTTTCAGATATTTAAAAATTAAAAACACATTAATATGTTTACAATAGTTAAGAATATTTACCTCAGTTCAGAATAAATTTTGCAGTCAAATGCAAAACCTTTCAGTCAAATATAAATATTGACTAGACAGCTGATTTTAAGGAAAAAAATCCCTCAGTGTTTTACATTTTTGGATTTGGCTATTGAAAGATTTTTTATCTGTATATAAAATGGTGGCATTCAATTATTCTTTAGAAGAAGTTTTTAGTTGAGTGGAAAATTCTCAAGTTGATTTTAATTTAAATACCCACCACTATGGTTTTGAAATGACAGAAAAACTAAGGTTTAGATGAAATAATGTATTTAAGTATTGCATAGGATAAAAGGTAAATATAACAATTTTCTGAAGAAATCTTCTAGATTTCACATAATCAAATGAAAGTAGAACATAAAACTTTATACTTATAAATCTTTCCTTAAACTAAGCTTGGAAGACATTGCTTAAGACCAGTATCAGTCTAGTTAATAAACAAACAACCTTGTTACCAAATCATATCTGACAACTTGAATAAAGTAGTTCTTACCATTGCAAATCCAACGTCTGCTTTCTTTAGCGCTGGGCCATCATTCGTACCATCACCAGTTACAGCTACAACTTGGCGTTGCTCTGAGACAGTGCTGTCAATTATACCTTAAATAAAAGTAAATGCTTGTGCTGTAAAATATTTTAAGAAGGTAACTCTGTAGAATATTCCAATTAGTAACTTACAGACTGAAGGCTAAAAATGCAATTAAATGAACATAGGAATGAAGCTTCCTTATTGAGCAAGAACCAACTCTAAAAACTAAGGTTATATTGGGAATAATATTTTAACAGCTAAAAATAAGTCCAATTCACCTAAAACATCAAAAGAAAATGTATTTAGATCCTATTGGAATACTCAGTATCTAATTTTACGAAGCAGAACACATTTCTGTACTTAGATATTTTGAAATAATTGTAAAAATTTCTCTCACCTTTAACCAGTGTATGTTTGTCAGTAGGAGATGATCTTGCAAGTACTCGAAGCTTTGGCCAAATCTTATCTATCCGCTCTTGCTCAATCTGTAAATTTTCATCAAAGTTTAAAATAAGCCAAAATCTAGTTTCATAATTCTAAACTATGTATTTCTAAACTATGTATTTTCCAAAATACTGTATTTCTCAGTGATTCTTAAGTGTGGTTAGTAGGACAACAGCATCAGAAACTCCTGGGAACTTGTTAGAAATGCAAATTCCTGGGCATTTGTTTTTTTCTTTTCCTTTCTTTTTTCTATGACAAGTTCTAGCATGTAGCCTGGGGCTACGTGCAAATTTGTGATTCTCTGGATTCAGCCTCCCAAGCACTAGGATTACAAGTGTTTGTTACCATCTTCACCACCAAGCAATTCGTGTTTTAACAAGCTTTTTTAGTGACACATATATGCTTCAAAATCTATTGTTTGACATGTCATTTTAAGATCAATTTTCATGGGCTGGGAAGGTGGCTCAGTGGTAGAGCGCTTGTCTTGCATGCATGAGGCCCTGGGTTCGATTCCTCAGCACCACATAAGCAAAAAGAAAAAAGCCG